CATCTGTTAGAAATTGTCTAAGGTTTGCTTCGGCAGGGGGTTGGACTAGATGACCTACAAGGTCCCTTCCAACTCTGTTAATCTGCATCTGTTCCCTGCATTGCATATAGTTGAATTCATCCTTGTTTAATAACCCAATTTATTGTTTTTTTTTTCAGCGTCTTTGTGAAAACAGATAATCATGACTTCTACTTGGGTAAGTCAAATTATTTTTTCCAGATTTATTAGATTTAATCTAATGTATCTGCTTCCGCAGGGGGCTGGACTAGAAGACCTCCAAGAAACCTTCCAACTTCTATTCTAATTCTATTTCTATATCTATATCTATTTCTATATCTATTTCTATTTCTATTTCTATTTCTATTTCTATTTCTATTATTTCTATTTCTATTATTTCTATTTCTATTATTTCTATTTCTATTTCTATTTCTATTTCTATTTCTTATTCTTATTCTTATTCTTATTCTTATTCTATTTCTACTCTATTTCTATTCTATTCTATTCTATTTTATTTCTATTCTATTCTATTCTGTCCTTAGCCTTGTATAGAACAAAAAAACAGCATTAAAATTATATGTTGGGACAGGGATCACTCCCTAAGAGAGGGGGCTGGCTGAGGAATTCTGGGAGTTGAAGTCCACAAGTCTTAAAGTTGCCAAGTTGGAGATCCCTTCATTAGATAAATGATTTTTGCTGAAATAATACCCTTACATTTTCCATCCATATTACTGTGGTGTGATGCCACTTTCTTCTACTCTACAATTTCAAATAATTGTGCAAATGAATCGTTTCCCCACAGTGTGAGGCAACAGGGGAAATACAGATCAGTCCACGAAGCTGCCAAACTAGCCTTTTTTTTGCTTCAGGATGAAAAAAAAAAGCTTTAAAAAAAACACCACGGAGGGTGTGCCTGGTTTATGCCTCAGAGTAACAGCAGTCTTGATGTTATGGCAAATTCCTGTTCAAACTCTTGCTAAGTAAATATTGACAAATTGAAATGTAGGACTGAATGAGCAAATGTAGAAATTTTGCAGCCTAGGACTGAATAAGAAACAGATTTTTTTTTTAATCCTCAAGTCAAGATGCAAATTAATTACAAAATTGGGGTGAGATTAATTACAAAACTGGCCAAGTTATCCTGGCACCGGAAACATCCATTCAGCAAAAATCAGAATAATTACAGTTGAAATAGCTAGCTTTCTTTCCCTTTCTGTGATAACCAAAACCATCGGTTTTTATTTCTGATTGATATCTGTTTCATTCCTGATTGATAAATGGCTGAACATAGTTGAAGTATTGTTGTTTCCCGCTGTTTTAAACTTCTTGTGATGCACAAATAGTTCTCGACTTACATCTATTCATTTAGTGGCCATTCGAAGTTAGAAGAAAGTGACTTAGAACCAGTCCTCGCACTTACAACTGATGGTCATATGATCAAAACTCAGGCTCTTGGCAATTGGTATATATTTACAACACTTGTAAAGTCCCAGAATCATGTTATCGTCAATCATGATTTTCCCGACTGGCTACCGATCAGCAAAATCAATGTCGGAAGTCAGATTTGCTTAATGACCTCATGATTCACTTAACAACTGTGGCCAGAAAGGTTGTAAAATCAGGGATGTCTCACTTAACAGCTCCCTGGCTTAGCAATGGAAATTGTGGTTCCAATTGTGGCTTTAAAAAAAGACGGCCTGCATTTATTGCCGTTTTTCTTCCAAACCACCTTAAAATGCTCTGTTGACATAAACTGCGAGTGGGATGGTGGTGTTTGCTACTTCCTTATTTAACAAACACCAGCTTAGTCTGAGTTGTACAACGCCCCAAAAGGAAGTGATTCAAAAGTTTCAAAAGCCATTCCACCTGGATGAACTCAGTCCAAGCTGGGTGGGGTGCTTATTGAAGCTTGCAAGAGTCTGCATTTTGCCCCTAATTTTTGGGCTGGAACTCCTTATTTGGTGAGTCTGTGGAATTCTTGCCTCCTTAATTATCCCCTGCTGTAATGTTTCTCAACTGTGGGAACTTTGGGGTGGACTTCAACTCCCAGAATTCCCCAGCCATGGCAGTAGAGGGTCCACGCCTCTTAAAGTACCCAAGGTTAAACTCCTCTCCTCTCTACCATGCCCCTCTTCTCCACTCTATTCTCCTCCTTTCCACTCCTGTCCACTCTATTCTCCTCCCCTCCCTTCCTCTCTTCTCCACTCCATTCTACCACTCCTCCTCTCTACTTTATTCTCCTCCTCTCCCCTCCTCTCCTCTCCATTCTATCACTCCTCTCCTCTCCACTCCTCTCCTCTCCACTCCTCTCCACTCTATTCTCCTCCTTTCCTTTCCTTTCCTCTCCTCTCCACTCTATTCTCCTCTCCATTCTGCTCTATTCTCCTCCTCTCCTCTCCTCTCCTCTCCTCTCCACTCTACCACTCCACTCCTCTCCTCTCTATTCTCCCTTCCTCTCCTCTCCTCTCCATTCTATCACTCCTCTCTCCTCCACTCCTCTCCTCTCCACTCCTCTCCTCT